CGAAAATTCTGACTTGAAAGGGGGCCGCTTGCAATACTTCGCCGATCGTTGGGCAGAATGGGGTGCTTCATCTCATATCGTTCAATCATTGCGAGAAGGCTTCATCATCGAAAGCGACCCCCAGAAATGGCAAGAATTTGGTGGAAACACAATTCGCAAGAAGGAGGAGATCGAATGGTTCGACCACAAGATTGCAGTAATGACCAGCAATGGCCACCTCGAAGAAGGAGACTCAACCACCATCCTCAACGCAGTCCATTTGGTACCCAAGAAGAGTGGAGAGTACCGACAAATAACGGACTTGAGGAAGGTCAATCTTGGAGTGGAAACCGACCACTTCAAGATGGAAACACTCGAGGCGGTAGCGAAATTCCTGAAGAAAGGGTTTTGGGCAACCAAAATAGACCTCGCAGAAGGATATTTTCATATCCCCATCCATCCAAGTTCAAGAAGGTTGCTAGGGTTCATTTGGAAAGGACAAATATTCCAATATACAGTCCTTCCATTCGGGCTCAATCAAGCACCATGGATCTTCACAAAGGTGATGAAACAAGTTGCCAAAAAGTGGCGTTCAGAAGGAATGATCATCTTTATCTACATCGACGACATTTTGGTGCTCGGATGTTCTCAAGAAGAATGCATGGAAATTACCTCAAAAGTCATTCAAGACTTAAAATGGTTAGGCTTCCTAATCAAGGAAGAGAAATGCGTACTGATACCGACTCAACAAATCACATTTCTGGGAATTCATTTGGATTTCCAACAAGGATTGTTCAAAATTCCGGAGGACAAACAACTGATTGCAATCCAAGCCATCACCAAAATACAAACAGCATACCACCAAAGATCCCATCTCTCACTAAAATGGATCTCTCAAGTGATTGGCAAACTTCAATTCCTTTCGATTGCTCTCCCAGCCATCCCAGTGTTCCTTTGTCGTCTTCGAACCAACATGATGAGTGTAGTCCTTCAAAACGGATGGAATCACTCGATGCTAATCATGAGAGGAGCAATGAAAGATCTGACTCAATTACTGTCTCTAATTCAGGAGAACAAAGGAACACTTTTCGAAATGGAATGGAATCTAGTGGCCGTCAATACAGACGCAAGTCCACTCGGTTATGGAGCCCATTCAAAAGAACTCACTCTCTCAGGAACGTGGAACGAAGACATGAAAACTCACCACATCAACAGTCTAGAATTGAAAGCAGTCCTCATGTTCTTTCAGACTGCCATGACTCGTCAAGCATATCCACCAGGGACTCAGTTCCATCTTCGAATCGACAACATGACAGCTCTTCACTACATACGCAAGGGTTATGGTCGAGTCTCTCACTTGGCGAACATTGCAAGAGCAATTTGGACTCTCCTACTGAAACAAAAATGGTCAATTCCCAAGGTTTCCTACATTCCGTCAGAAAGAAATCAAATCGCCGATCAGTTGTCAAGACTCGGCCAATGGGAAACCTCTCCAGAACTTTTCAATCTCGTGGAGAAGAACTTTGGCCACCACGTCGTCGATCGCTTCGCAAGTCCCAAGAATTCACATACGACTATATTCAACTCCTTTACGAAGGAAAACGACGCTCTTATGGAACTGTGGAACGCATCCGAGGATCAAAGAAGTTATTGTGCTCCCCCTCTTGGGCTGATGTCTCAGTCCTTGCTTCATGTTATTCGGAGCAAAGCAAAGGCAACATTTATCGCTCCTATCTGGCCCACCGCAATTTGGTATCCAATCTTACTAAGGATATCCAAAAGGACAATAATGTTTCCAAAAAATTTGCTCAGAAATTGGCACTCGTCAGAACTCTCAAACAACAAAGATTGGGTCTTTGCAGCGTGGGATCTGGACGGTGCTCTTTATTAGATGTCAAAGGTCTTTGTTTGAGTGTAACATTGGCTGACACTACTCTTCAAGAATACACTCGAGTTTATGCCATCTTTAGAGGATGGTTGGTTTGCACTCATTCCGATTACAATGAACATTCCATGACAGATTTCGTAGCTTATCTACTTCATGTAGGAAAAGGTTATCTCATTGATAAGGTTGAACCTTCCCTTAAATTCTTTGCAGATTTGGAAGGTTGGCAATTATTGAAAGATTCACTTTATTACCGAGTCAAAACAGGAGCCCTTAAATTATATAACCTTTGTGACAGAAATCCTTTGCAAAGGGATCCTGTAATGGCTGACTACATCAAGAATTACATTACTCAATTTAAACCGAAGACTCCAAACGAAGTGTTTAATTACAATTTGACCTGTGCTCTCCTTGTGATTGGATTCCGAGTATTGTGTAGACCAAGCGAAATATCCCAACTTCAGTGGGACGATATCACATTCATTACCGAAGGTCGAGTTAAAGTGAATCTTGCAGGTCATAAAACTGACAAGAATGCACGAGATACACCAATGATTGTAGATCCAATTAAGGAAAATCCTGAATTCTGTCCTGTCGCCATTTTAACCAAGTATATGAATATGGTTAAAAAGTTTAAGAAGAACACTTCTCCTCTATTTTCATATCGAGATAACAAATTTTTATCAAGACAAAAGGTTCAGTCGATCATCCAGTCCGCTATAAGGAAAGTAAAACCAGAGGCGAAAATTACCGGACATAGTTTAAGAATTGGTGGAGCCACCGAAATGGTGAAGAAGGGTGAAAATATGGATGCAGTGAAAGTGGCAGGACGATGGAAGTCAGATTCCTCAGCTCTCCTTTATATGAGAAAACAGGCGTTGGCCGAGAAAAACATGTCCACCACTTTGATGAAATAATTATTCTCTGGACAAACCCATTGGTATTAATCTATTATTGTTTGAAGTTACATAACATTGAATGTTCTGAAAAGAACGGAAGTGTTTTGTAACGAAAACAATAAGGTTGACTAAAAGTATGGCTAAAAAATGTCAACAAATCCACAACCAAAACAGCTCTCTAAAGAGCAAACTAATACCACTACTGCAGCTTCCCAACAGTCTGGCACCACAACAACACCCTCCCTTCCCTCCCATTATATA